AAATGGGTGCTCCTCCGGCTCTTAGGGAGCGATTGTTTCCCACAGTCCATAGTGCCTTCCTCAAATTAGCGCTCTCCTGTCATGTCTGAAATAGACCAGGAACCGTGTGGTCAAGTAGCTGAATATAGTACCACAAAGGCGATGACCAAGTACCTCCGTCAGCATTCGGGAGATAAAATGACCACCATCTATCGGGGCACATGTTTTAGGTAAAACGAATAGCTGCCAAACAGAGAGAGTGCTTAGCTGACATTTGGGAGCCAGGGGAACACTGAGGGTTTGACAAACGAATAAGGGGGACATTCATTCGGGGAACAAACAGGGGAGTATGGGCAACCAAACAGACATAGGACCAGGTCTGCTTTAACAACAATTTGGCTATGCGATAAACAGTATTTGACATGCCCACAGTTCTAGATCTTTTCCTGAACAATATTAGCCATGCAAATCAAAGCATGGCTCTAGGTACTGAATTATCCTGGAGTAAGTGCTTTTTAATTTCTTGAGAGATGTGTTATCAACTTGTCTAGATTAAACAGACAGGTCTGCTTTCAACTGCTTTCTGTTTGTTTCTGCAGTTACTCATTTGTAGGTTTGTTTCGTCAGACAGACCTTGCCTATTTAAACCTCCCTTGCCCCTTGAATGTTAATGCATCCTGCCAGCATCATGGGGTGCAGGTCGATCTTCATTGCATTACTAGCTCTGCTTGTTGGGTCCTATGCCCAGTCACAACCGTGAGTACTTGTAACCTTTTCAGCTGACATTTTCTGCTTGTTCTTTTAACCCCTTGAGGACAGAGCTACAGAAGCTTGTCTTTCACTTAATGACAACAGCATTTTTTGCATTTTTTGCTGTTTGCGTTCAACTGCAATTTGCATTTTACTAATTTATTGCACCGACACATATTATACATCGTTTTTTAAAGAACAGAAAGGGCTTTAATTTGATGTAACATATATATATATATATATATATATATATAAATGCTTATTTATTAAAAAAAAAAATACAGAAAAATGCAAAACAAATGAAAATGTTTGTGTTTTTTTACAGTTTTTGCAATAATAATGTGTGCATAATTAGTGCAGGTTAAGGAAAGTAATTAAAAATAAATTCATTTAGTTGTTCTGATTTACAGAATATATAATGTGTCTGGGATTTTAAGTTTTTTTTGGTAGTTACAGGTCACAAAGCACAAGGAGTAAAATAGACTTTTAATGTGGAGCGATTTTAGAATTTGGTATGTTTGTCTTGTAAGCTTAATAGCCATAAAAGAAAACAAAATTTCCACAGAAAAGTATATATTTATATAAAGTAGACATCACAGGCTACTTACCTAAGGTTGTTTTGACACTTTCTACGTAGCCATTTCACCGCCAACCTCTGCTAAATATTGGAGTAAAATTGTGTTTTTTTTTGTTTTTTGGCACACAAACTTATAACAAAGAAATTCTCATGTGTATTTTGTAAAGTTGGTGTGTGCTATTCCTGTACAAAGTTTTATTTTGTGTTCGGTTACATCTGCTGAGTAAAATGACACCCCCATTGTATGTCTTTGGCACTATTTCGTGAAGTTAAAGTGCCATATAGGAGACCTGTCCTTTTCAGTATTCACAGTAGAATTTTAACCCCTTCAGCGCCACAGGAGAGGGACCCTGAGGGTGGGGGCACCCTTAGGGCACTATAGTGTCAGGAAAACCGCTTTGTTTTCCTGCCACTATAGTGATCCTTTAACTGTCTATGCATCACAGTTTAAAACAGCATAGGGTTGACAATCTTTGGTACTTTATAGCTTAACAAATCTTTGAATGCAAAAAGCTAATGGTGAGGAGCACGTTGTATGTCTATAGACTTTATAACAAACACTTGCGCAATATATTGTACTTTGAAGCCCCTTGTCAAGGTCCTAGCCATTACTCAATTAATTTTGCAATGCAGACAGCATGTGTATTGCCACTTCTGTTTGCATTAAAATTATATTTTTTTAGAATAGCACTCAAACCTTTTACTACTGAGTTCTTTTCATTTAACTTAAAAAAAATTGAGATGCTTAGCTACTATATTAAGGGGGACAGCAATGTTCTATATACACCGATGTCCATTGGGAAAAAAATGCTTGGTTTTACTAAGTTTTTAATTGCAGTTCATCTGAAATAAGGAAAATATTGATTTGAATAAACAGAAATGATTCAGTAATTTTGTTGCCTTTCAAATTTCAGATACCCATTATACCTTACAGGTAGTCACAGGTAGTCACAGACTCACAAAGTACCAATTTAGGGGGCTATCCAAAAAATGCTGAAAAATCTAAATTCAAAATAAAAGTCATTTTCTTTATTATTGCAATCCCATGTAAGGAGAGCAAATTAGAGAACTATCTACTAAACAACAGAAAGATCAAGATTTAAAAATATATATATTTTATTTAATTTTGCTCTTTCAGTAAATTAGTATATTACTCCCTAATTTACTGCCCTTGCCCTTGCATAGAATGATGCAACGGCTTAAGCCCCCAGGAGCTCTGGTTAACTTACCTCTGCAGCGATCCTCTTCGGGAGGACTGCCTGACAACCCAGGCAGCCCTCTCCTGGCAAATCAGGCGATCACATGGCCCCCTATTGCTGGCTGTGGGTCTGCCAGCAGGGGGACTGCCTGGACTGTCAGACAGTCCCCTGCTGGTGGGAAGTATAAAAAAATTATAATTAAACATGTTTAAAATAAATGTATATATATATATATATTGTTAATACAATGTTAAACAAAAATCTGCACACCAGTCAAGCCATAAGACTTTCTTTTCCCACAGAAATCCCAAAACTGCAGCGATTTTACAACTGCAAAGGATTCTGGGTGGGCATATGCAAATTAGTTTAAGAAAGAATCACATTTTTGCCTCATTCCATTTTAAACATGGATTCCTTTTAATCTGTGTTTGCAGTATACAACTGCTTGGAACACAATTTAGGAAAAGATGCAAAACCAGTGAACCACTCATGGACAGCTGTTTCGATGTTAATGCAACTCGTCAGCATGAGGTTGGTTACTGGTTTGCTTAGTGAGGCTTGGTAGTGCTTGGGAAGCAAAATCCATATAGGTTATGGTAGGGAAAAATTGTGATTGAAAACCCCTTCCACCTGAAGTCTGTGGATAATTAATACAATACACACATAATTTTGTATATTTTGGCCCCAGCAGCACCCTACAATGTATGCATGTTCAGGTGAGTGCAGCCCTCTTGGTTTCTTTTATATATTTGGGAGTCCCAGGCCAGCTCTTGGGTTTTGCACCCCTGTTACAGGTGCCTCATTCCAGGACCTTATTTAGCCTTGACTTGCAGAGAGTCCCAGTAAGGAAGTATTTCCCAAGTAAGTGGATTAATCTCATAAGAGCAAGCATTAGGCTGCTTCTAGGATAGGACCTGCCGAATATGGGGTACTTTGAAGTAGTTGGCAGGCTTATGCAATGTATGATCATATAATGTAACTAAACCCCCTTCATTTTTTGCCTAGGTGAGGTGTTTTTAAATAAAACTATTACAATCTCTAAGATTTGAAATCATTGTTTAGTGAATAAGCGAGTGCGCTGGATTTTGTATTTTGTATATTTTGGCCCCAGCAGCACCCTATAATGTATGCATGTTCAGGTGAGTGCAGCCCTCTTGGTTTCTTATATATATATATATATATGTAACGTCATACGTAGTGTATTTTAATAGTAATATAAGTACATATATAAGTATTAAAATACACTTAGAATGAAGTTACATATATATAAGATATATATATATATATATATATAATATATATAATACATATATATATTTTATATTTATATATATATATATATATACTGTTGCAGTGTAAGCATGCAGAAGCCAAACACAGAGATTTGGACACAAGTCTTCAGGAAGTAAGAGGCCTTTATTCACATTACCGATCGGGTCTCAGATGAACTCCTGTTCCAACATTCTGAGAGACCAACACATAGTGTACATTCCTTATATAGCACTATAACTCCTCCCATTAATAGCTACACCCACATATACCTTTAACCAATCAATGAGCAGAATATAGACTTGTACATCTAGTCAAACCACATGGCTCATCCAAGACAAAGGAAATAAGTGCAATTTCAGTTCCTGCATTCCTGCACATGCTCAGTACACTGATGACAGTATCCTAGCTACATGTAGCTAACCAACTGACACAACATACACATATGCCACATGGAGATTTTGGCCTACTAAATTTTGACCATGCTGGAATCCCATCACATTCCCCCCTTTGATGCCTCTGATATAACATTATTCCAGATGCATCACCAATCACAGTTTTACCTACATCTCTCAAGTAGCCATTGAACCAGAGTAGACCTTGTAAGCATCTTAAAAACTCCTTCAACATTCTTCATCCTGAATATATTCTCTTCGGGCTAGGGAATCATATCTTCCAGACAGCCATTATATGGGCAGCTGTCTTTCTCTCTATAGTACTCTCTATAATACTACGTAGGGACCTTACCACTAATGGAATTAGACAGGGCAGGAGGAGGCACAAAAGTACATTCATACTGTGAGTGCCAGATAAGAGTTTGGGATATTTGGTTACCTGTTTTAGTAGTCTTAATGCAACTATCGCAATTCGGTATGTCTGTACTCCTACCTTCCTGAAAAATTATAAAAATACTAAGACATAATAAAACACATTATTCCTGAAATCCTCATTTTTCTTCAACCGTGAGATGGCCTCTCAGCTTCCCGATTGTGAGGGCTGCAAGGATGTTGTTCTTCTGATCCTCACTTTCCTTCACAGAGATCCCTTCGAGATACTCTGGCTATGACACGTAGGCAGGTGGTCAGGCTTTATTATGGCCGTCAAAACACCTACTTGATGATCTCTGTAGACTTTTAACTAGAATGTCTCGATATCCCCTCGTCACTCCGACTGAGTTGCACGCTTCAACCGGGTCCTGCAAGGATTCTCAGGATCTGGAGTAGCTTGCCAAGAGTCTGCTGCTGGTTTAAACTTAGATTGATGAATCCATGGAGTCACTTCCGCCACCTTTACAGCTGTTGGGGTAGATAAAAGAACAACATACAAAAAGGCTAACAGGATACACCCCGAGCTTTAACTCAATATGTATTGGTGGGATATTACGAGCAAGTCCTGGAGGATTATTTTCTTCCCATACTCCTGGAATATCAAATAAGGATTCATCACTCTTAGGGTTAACACTTGTCACAATGGAATAGAAGCGTCATTCTTCTTCCCTTGGAACCGATATCGCCATTATGCCTGGTAATCCCTTAAACTTCAGAGATGTTGATCCATTAGGTAAAAGATTATCTGAGCTTAAAGCTTCGATAATAGATCTCGTCCTAAAAGTTGAATCGGACACTCTGGCATATATAGGAACTAATGCTTCACCACATGGCCTCCCAGAATACAAGTGCGACTCTTAAGAACCGGTCTAGCTGCACTTCTCCCAGTAGCTCCTATCACAGTTATAGTCTTCCCCGAAGGCGGAGCCACCATCTTAGTCACCACAGAATGTTCAGCACCTGTGTCGATCATGAAAGAACTTCTCTTTCCCCCTATTGCTACATCGACCATGGGCTCCGCTCAACCAAGTGGGATGGAGCCCGGTCGGTATCAATAGTCTTCCATGTTAGTGTCAGCCAGACCCACAAAATCTCTATCCTCTTTTTCTCTAGGTCTCTGCGTGGGTGGATAGTGTCTGTCTCCTTGAACACTTCCTCTACTATTCCCATCATTCCCTCTAAACCTTCCTCTTCCTCTATAACTACCACTATAACCTCCTCGTACCCTTCTCTCTCCTTGTCTATCACCTGCATACTGCTCTCTCTGTGGACACTCACTCTTCCAATGTCCCTCCTTTCTACAATACGCACATTGATTCCTACTTAAAGGTCCCTTGCTCAGCCTATTCTCGTCTCCTCTATTCACTTCCCTGTCTTTCTACACTACCGCTAGCATATCTGCCTTTTTCCTCATTTTACGTTCTTCCTCCCGCTTTACCTCCGTCTCCCTATTCATATATACTGTATTTGCAATCTCCATTAGCTGTAATATGGACATCCCTACAAATCCCTCTAATTTCTGTAATTTCCTTTTAATATCACCTTGGGCCTGGCTGACAAATGCTGAGTCTATCATTCGGAAGTTTTCAGGGGCTTCAGGATTGAAAGGAGTGTACAATCTATTTGACTCAAGCAGTCTCTAATATGGGACTTCGGCAAGGCTGCTCAATAATAGGTTCCAGTCTAGGAGTAGTAAGATAGGTGTAAGGGGGTGAGCTAATTTTATTAGTCAGCATTTGGTGGATGAAAAAACGTTTTTTTTTAAAGTGTTAAACCAAAAACCTACCAGTAGGTGTCACCAGAGGGTAATTGTATCAAAATAATCTTTATGGGTCTAATAAGAAAACTTAACTTTTAATATATTTATACATAAAATAAAACCTTATAGCAATAAATATATTAAAATAGGGTAAGCAATCCTACTTCTATCTGGTATAAACAATGTATTATCAATGTAACTCCCGAAGATGGCCAGTAGGTGGCCCTAGAGTGCCTCCCTAAAGTCTAATGAAGCAAATAGACTTTAATTAATTATGTCCCTATTTTATTATTACTTATTTTAATCACTGTCCACCCTGATATCTAGGCTTGATTAAATCTTTAGTTCTAAGGTAAATTAAACATTTCAGTTTGTAGTTTAGTAAAAGGGGACATTTTGGACAAAGCTGGGAGGGGCCCATCCAGTAACTAAAAAAAAGACAATATACCATCTTATACCATTGATCATTGATTAGGGGGAAGGGGAGTAGTACAGAAATACAAGAGTTTGAAACACAGGAACAGATAGGTATGTGGGTAGGCGGGGACAGTAGAGCAGGGGGAGTGCAAATACTAACTATATACCAGTTTTGGGAGGAAGAAATGGACGTCGCACACACGAAATTAAATCAAAAACCCAAAGACTATACACTTATCAATGTAACTATTATTCAAACCATACAACTATCCACGCTATTAATCCATATAAACTAACCGATCACATAACATTTCAACAATTTCATCTCTACAATTATCCGTACTATAAATCAACTTTTGACTAACCAACTATATCACATTCTAGTAACCTCATCTTTACAGTCAGTGGTTATGGTACAGTTAGTAAGTGGTTATAATACAGTTTTAAAGTCACCGATCAGTTAGTAACAGTTATGGTATTATACATATAACATAAAACAGCAATTGTTAGTAATTTTTACACAATGTCAGTGGTTATGGTACATGTCAGTAGTTATGGTACCGTGCGCTATTTTACAGTTATACACACAATTTACACTCCCACTAGGCAGCAGAGCTCTAACTTTCTAGTAGGACATACAAGTTAACCAATTCACCAACTACAATATATTTAACAACATTTACAATAATCCCAACTATTCTAACTGGCCAGCACCTCGAGAGCTTTCGATCTATTTATACACCAGAGATTCGATAAGTTCTTCGTTGCCCAGACACCACGTATAGTGAACTAGAGGGCAGAATTTACACAGTACCCAGCTAGTCTATGAAACCATCAATAATCTAGTGGCTGGATTTACAACAGAGCACACTTAGTTAAGATAGGGTGAAATCTAGCAGACAGAATATACACCAAAGTTCTGCTAGTCTCCCGGTCCCCCCGACCTAGCGAACAAAATTTACACCCTAGATACGCTAGTCAAGACAGGACACCGGTGTCCGACATCAGCGATTTACACCAGAACTCAGTCTGACAATACCACCTATATTAGACGGGCTGACTACAGAGCGACTAATTTCCAGATAAGCGTTGCGCTTTCGCTTCTTCCATCCCTTAGGACAGGGCAGATTCCAATAACCGGTTCCAAATATAAAACCCCTTGTGGGTCTACCACTCCAACGGTATCAGTCTTACCTGTTAGTTTCTGGACCTGGGTTCACTCATAGACGGAACACCCCGGTACTCACTGCGCAGAAGCCGATGATCTCCTGAGCGAAGCAGCCCAGTGGAGCCGAGATGAAGGGATGTCCACGCAGTAGAAGTCCAGGGGTGCAGCGTAGAGGATTTGGTAAAAGTTTACCGTCTCAAATCTCTGCGCCAGCTTCCGTGCGATGAGGTTCCCACTGCCAATGCACCAGAGATGTTGCAGTGTAAGCATGCAGAAGCCAAACACAGAGATTTGGACACAAGTCTTCAGGAAGTAAGAGGCCTTTATTCACATTACCGATCGGGTCTCAGATGAACTCCTGTTCCAACATTCTGAGAGACCAACACATAGTGTACATTCCTTATATAGCACTATAACTCCTTCCATTAATAGCTACACCCACATATACCTTTAACCAATCAATGAGCAGAATATAGACTTGTACATCTAGTCAAACCACATGGCTCATCCAAGACAAAGGAAATAAGTGCAATTTCAGTTCCTGCATTCCTGCACATGCTCAGTACACTGATGACAGTATCCTAGCTACGTGTAGCTAACTAACTGACACAACATACACATATGCCACATGGAGATTTTGGCCTACTAAATTTTGACCATGCTGGAATCCCATCACAATACGTATAATTACAATAATAAATAAAATAAAATGAATGAAATATATATTTTTTAATGACCATAAATTATATATATATATATATATATACATATATAATTTCATTCTAACTGTATTTTGTTATTAATATATATATATATATATTATATATATAGAACCAAAATAATCAGCACTCCCAGGATTTGTAAAAAAAGAGATAATTCTTTACTCCACAGGTCAAACCACTTAGTCACAAACACTGGCCAAATATTAGTTTTTTGCTTTTTTCACACAAAAATAAATATGTATGCTAAATTTTGCCAGTGTTTGTGACTAAGTGGCTACTAAGAAAGACTGGACATACCCCACGGGTAATACCTTGGGTTACCTAATTTTGCAAATGGTATGCCATCATGGGGGTAATTCCCATTTTTGAGCTACCACACGGTCTCAAATGTAACATTACTAATCTGGCAAATTTCAATGTAAAAAAAAAAATGGAAAATTGGAATGTGCTATATTTGACCCTGTAACTTTCCAAAACACCATAAAACCAGTTAAAGGGGGGTACTGTTGTACTTGTGAGACTTTGCTGAATACAAATATGTGCATTTTATTGCAGTAAAAGCTAAGAGTATTATGACATTTACAGCTAGTGTCAGGCAGAACTACAATTTAAAAAAAAAAAATCTTAATTTATCAGTTTTTTTAATTTTATTCATAATAAATTATGTTTCAAATATGAATAGTTCATGAGTAATTAAAGCCCTGTTTCTCCTGAATAAAAGTATATATAATAAGTGTGGGTGCACTTAACATGAAAGAGGTGAATTACGGTTGAACAGACATATAGCGCAAATTCCAATTTTTGTTTACATTTTGTTTTGATCAGAACGCCTACAATTGACTCCATCCTGAAGGCGTTAAGCACCAACCGGTAGTGAATTATAACCCAAATTGCAAAATGAAGGCTAAAATAGCCAAGCTGAGCTTAAGCATTTAGTGAATTTTACCAAATCAATAATGCCCATATTTTACAATTTTTATTTACTGCATTTCACAGTTTAATAAATACACCTTGGTGGCTGTGGCAGAAGCAGCCACAAGAGACTTTTGCATTGATTATTGCCTGTATTTGAACTGTATGTCATTTGAGCATAGTTGATTTTATTAGACTGGTTCTGGCCCTTTAAATGCTCTGACAAAGGATCTGCAGTTTTGCTATGCACTTTGGATGCAGAGTGTGAAGAAAAACCCTGTTTTATGGACTTAGTGTGACTGTTTTATTCCCCTCCCTCCTAGAACACCAGTTTAAAAACCCTTAATAACTGTCATATTTTCAAACGCTGTCTGTCTTTAACTGTCAGTTTGTTTTCCTCTGAGGAGGAGTTTTTTTTGCTGCGTGAGGGCTGTTGCTTTGTGTGCTCATTAAACAGACCTGCTTGACCCTTTCTTGAAGCCTTGGCTCATGCTTGGGGGATGGGATAAGTCTGCAGTGCTGATGGTGTCAGTTGGAGTGCTTGAAGTCCTCGGCGAGCACTAGGAGCATCGATTGGCGGAGGTACTCGGTCGGAGTGCCAGCGGGTCCGTCACAGTGGCATATTCATTAAACTGTAGGATTCAGTGGATCAAATAAAACCAAATGAAAAAGTTAGGGCCAAGGTAGCAGATTTGGAAATATTTTCAATTTCTACCATAGTAATCTATATAGTCCTATATACAATCCCAAAATGCCCGAAAATTGCAGTATGTAATGATACCTTATTTATTGGACTAACATAATATTTTAAAGACAAGCTTGTGAGAGACTTCCTCCCTTCCTCATGTCTGAAGCAATACTGATCAATATGAAAGAGTTTAACACTTAAAACAACTGATGTTGTTAGAGAAGGAGAGTATTCAGGACTTTCAAATTAGAAATTGAGAATGTGGAAGGGGATATTTAGAAAGGTTTTCAAAGAGAACCCGATATTTAAAATAATTCGGGATTATTCTAGCTTTAGCGACTGAATAATCTAAATTTTATTAAAGACAGGAGGCGAATATTTGCTTTACCTTCTTTACTGAACCTCCCAGCAGCAAAGAAACAGTTAACATAAGTGAGAAAAAAATCAACCAATCAGGACACATATTAGAACATAACAGTCTTTCAGGCTCCTCCCAAATCCTCTTTCTGATGCAGCCGATCATAAGTGTAGTCAACCGTGTAAACTGGAGTAAGTCATCAACCATGTAAACCGGAAAAAACGCAGTCGAGATTAGAGACCAAGGGAACGTAGTCTTCGTGGTTCATGTAGAGAAACTTCACACTAAAAAACAGAGAAAGATCGTGAAAGTATGGGTACTTGGACTGGGTGTCCGCAAGATATCTATATACACAGATCCACCCCCTGGATATTATGAGTATAACTATTGCAAATTTCTAAAATAGTCAGAAAAACCAGGCAGATGAATAAGCACCTAACCAGAATAAATGGGAACAAAACAGTTAGGCATATATAAGTCTATACAAGGAAAACTTGAAAAATTTTATGGATACATGCGACTTGATAAAAGAAAAAACTGGGATGGGAGATAAATAGGGTGGGAAAATATTCGCCTCCTGTCTTTAATAAAATTTAGATTATTCAGTCGCTAAAGCTAGAATAATCCCGAATTTTATGGCAAGACAGGAGGCTTCATATTTGCTGTTTTAAAGCGTGGAAACCAAAGAGTAGGAAGCATGGGACGATTGTCGAAAATAGAAGGTACGGAAGGTAGACTCTCGAGACCAGTCAGCGCATTTTAGGATGTCTGCGAGGGATCCCCCGGCCATAAAGGCGGAGGATGCAGCCGCACCTCTGACAGAATGAGCTCCAAAAGAGGAGTCTATCCCCGCTAAACCTAGAAGCCATTTAATCCAGCGGGCAATCGTGGGACAAGACACTGGTTTGTGTGGTCGCACATACGAGATAAACAGGGGGCCCGTAGGGGTACGTAGAGGTGATGTAGAGACGACGTACTGTTGAACACAGCGAGCAACGCAGAGCGACGGTCTGTCAGAAAAATAAGGGTAAGTAATTGTTAAAGAATTAGTTTTTGTTCGGCGAGAAATGTTAAAACGTACACCCTGGGGCGTGAAATCAATAGCATGAAAGTCAAATGCCTGAATATCAGACACTCTCCTAAAAGAAACCAAGCAGAGAAGAAGAGCTAATTTGGCCGACAGTTGTCGTAAAGGGAGCGCTTCATTGGGTGGCCAAGTCTCCAGGAAGGACAAAACAAGAGCAACATCCCAAAAATGTGA